TCTGAAAATATGTTAGTATTTTATCCCAAGTTCATCAACTGCCGTTAGGACAACTTTGGCCAAATTATACGTATGTTTCACTAGAACTAAATATGAAGCACAAAAAAAATACCTATTGGCCTAGCCCGACAGCACTGTCGCTGCTAACCCAACGGTTTGGCCTTCCTGGCAGTTCAAATCCACCATCAGCCACTTGGGAAAAAGATCGGCACTCTGCTCCAACACAATTCATAGCTTTGCTTTAAGATGGCAATGAATTCTGAATGTAATACATTTCAGAGCACAGAATAAGAATCCGTTTTTTACAACTGTAATGTCAAACTTAAAAGCTGCAAGAGAGTAAAAAAATTAGAGGTAAATAAACTAACCTATTAAGGAGAAGTCTATCCCTTCTCTTTACTAAGCACTGCATCCTTTTAAATGTACGTTTTAAATACACCATTCCATTTCAACCTCTCATCAACTCAAAAGTAAGAGTACCATAGTTTCACTGAAGAGGCAAAAAGCACAGGGTGGTAAAGTGTCTGTCCAATGTTCTACAGAGATCTAATGACAAGGCCAGGACTGAGATTCAAGTTTTCACACACTGCGTTATTGTTCTTCTCTTAAAGTTAAATGAAGAGAGGTGAAAAAAAAAAAAAATTCAAGCAAGTTCCACTACAAAATCTCTTCACCAATAATAATAATAATACAAAATATTTTTATGGAGGTTTATAAGCTCAGAAGACTTAAGAGCATTTACAAAATACCACACAACAATGTTTCCAGTGCATAAGCCCTACAGTTAGTTATATTCAAATATAATCATCTACACTTTCTTAACTACACGTCTCAACAAATACTATTGCTAATACATCTGTTTATAGCCTATGAAAAACAAAACAAAAACACCCAAGTGTGAGTCATTCTCATTACTTTGCCTACAAAATTAAAAGTCCGTAAGCTGGTATGATCTGAGGACTAAACGAGTACCACGTGGGTAATTCAGAGTTAGTTATTAAAGTGATCTCTAAAAAAATAAAATTTGTTCGAATAATTGTCCCTAAGAATCATTCAATCTGATCTTGTCTGAAAAGCCACCACTGTTCAAGGAAGAAAGCATTCAGCATTGAAAATCCTCAAAAGCATACACAGTCTTTCAGAGCACAGGTCAAGAACGGTCTTCACTGAGGACACAGCAGGTACCATTTTAAGTCCTGGAACAGTCATCAGTATTAGGATATTGGGTGGCATGTGCGGAGTCTGGCAGGCATGATGAATTTCATGCTAACGTAAGGTTTATCAGATGAACATAAATGGAAATATATGACGTAAAAATCCTGCAAATATTACTGACAATCTATTTCAATTAATATTCTACATACACGTCACACACACACACACACACACACACACACACACACAAAACCATCCACCCACTCTCCTCTGATCCTTCTAAAACTAAGTCCAGTAACTTTAAGACTTTTTTCAGATTGGCTCAGTTTCCAGTGGTTCTTAAAGAATTACAATTATTTAAAACTGATAAACATGCCTGAAATTGGATCAAATCTATCTGTCATAATAAGCATTTAATCAGGTACTGCTATAATTAAAGATTGAGGAAAAGCTATGAATTATTCCATGACTTTAGAAATACCAGCAAATGGTGTTAATTATCAATATTAAATAATGTATAAGGAATTCTATATGCATGGAATCTTTTAGTGGATTCTTCAAAGTAAATAAGGAAAATTTTCACCAATTGTTCAATTTCCAACTACTTTAGCTCTATCGATTCCAATTCTGACAACATCCTGTTTTACATCTAAGGTATATTTGTTTTAACAGATAAAAAGATATTAAAAAATACTCCTGCAATAGTTACAGAAAATCACATATGCTACTCATATGGGGAAGGGGACAGTTATTTAAATGGACACACATATAGAAAAAAGCACTACTTGAAATTTAGATATTTAAAAGTAATTGAGAAAGCACCATTTTGGACAATAAAATATTAAGGGTTCTATAAAACTCTGGAAGGAATTTTGTCTTCTGTCTAGCTCACATTTCGTCATTTCCTTCAATAACTGATACTTTAAATAAGTATTCTGTATAGGAGGACCCCACAGATCCTAGTACAGGTATTTATATAAAAACAGATATTACAGAATGAAAGTACTTCATGTAGATATGTGAAAATATTTCAAGGATCCAAGAAACTGCTAAATACGAAAAATTTGAGTCATCCAAACTCTCTAAAAAGTCATCCTTTTATGAACAGAAAATAAGTATTTTAATCAGCAGGTTATGTGAATGGGGGGGAAATCTTTCAGAAAAATTTTTTAAAAAAAATTTTTTTTGTATTATTTTTACATGTACCGTCAAATCAGATCTGACTGCTACAGGAGATTGCCCCCTTCTTCTCCAGCAGAGCATCTGGTGGATTTGAACCGAGTACCTCTGGGATTGCAAGTACAGCGTCTTGCCACTAGGCCACAAGAGCTCCAGAAAGATTCTTCTAATTGAACACTTTCTCAAGTAATCAAGTTGGGGATTCCTACTTAAATACCAATGTCAATTTTGGTGTAAATTCAGGACACAAGCATTCTTTCTTGGTGGTATATTCATCTAAACATCTAAAAGACATTAATCCTACTCCCTGTCAAATGGCCCTACCCTCATTTGCCAAAGCATATCCTGATCTTCTGACCCTGGTCACCAACAAGCTTTTCATAGAGTGATCTATGAAAAATAGAATCGAAAGAACTACAATTTTTTTTTGCTGACCTCTTAAAGTTTCCCATCACAGACAGGATCCAGCCTTACCACTTTTCTGTAACTACTGGTTGTTACCCTCACAACTGACCCTCTACTAGGTTTTCAGAGGCAGGAAATCTCATGGAAGAAGACCATCAACCTTCTACAGAGCAGCTGGTAGATATGAACTACCTGCCTTTGGGATTGCAGCACAGATTCTTACCACTAGGCCACCAGAGCTCCCTATAACCACTAGTGGAAACGATTTGAATTTTGCTACTCATGACAGGTTTAACACTGGGGTCTAGCTAGCGCAAGTTTCACTGTTAAGAGAGTACTGGAAAAGTTTAAAATGTTCTCATCCTCTCCATGACAATCACTCTTCCTAAGGAAACATCCTCAGAAACTTGAATAGTTCATAGATGAATATATCTAAATAGCTCTCCCACTTAAGAAATGTGATGCAAAACCAGAAATGGTTGTGCAATAATAAATGCATTGTGATTGATAGAAACTGTCAAAGCAATTTTCAACTCATACCAAGTCCATGTAACAGGAGAAATCACCATACAATTCTCCAATCTTATATACAGAGAGGTCTTTCTCCACAGAACCACTCAAAGGGTTAAAACTACCAATGATGTGGTTAGCACTTTCACTTATATCACCAGGGATCCTTCCATGTCATATTGGACCTGGCAAATTACCAAGCAAGGGCAGGTTTATCATTTTCCTTTGAATCTAAAGGCTGGATGAAACCCTTAAGTAGGAAGAGTATATATATCACTACACATAACAAAGGGATACCAAAGGGAAATTCACTATAATTTTACAGGAAAAAATTGCCAAGTTCTTGGCAAATCTACCTAAATTATTTTTAATTTATAAAATGAAGCAACACAGGGTGTGGAGGTTATGTGATAATGTGGTAAGGAAACACTTTTACTTTTAAACAATGGATGTGCAATTCAGTCAAGGTAAAACTCCTGACAACTGGGGCTGTTGAAGTGGGCAAAGAACAAATCAGAATTACACGCTGTGGTGCTAGGTCTGAACACTGCAACAGAAGAAATTCTCAGGGTTTACTACACCTTTGTTATGTATAACACTACACATTCTTCAAGATCTTTTCTTTTCCAGGCCAGCAACTCCTTAAAGTTATAATGGATCAGAACCACCTTGTGTTACTGCACAGTGAAGCACCATGGGATTTTAGGTTGCTCCGAAATCCTTAAGTAGCTAAGTTGCAGGTGCAAATTTAGGGGTTCAAAGTGGGTTTTTTCATACTTTCCAGATGGCTGTTTTTCCAAGGGTATGGAATTTTATTTAAAAAAATTATTCTGTCAAGTAACTAACTGTGTGTTTAGAAAAAGAAATCAATGTATTTAACTAGTTACTGTAATATAATGAATATCTTACCTTCTAACCCATCAACATACTATATGGTTAGATTTTACCCTTATGGAACAGACAGGGTAAGTTCTTGCAATAGTTTTACTGGCTATCAGAGAAGTAGAGAGTGGTGGTCTAGTGGCAAGAAGCTGTGCTGCAATCCCAGAGAAGTGACGTTTGAATCCACCAGCTGCTCCACGGTAGGATGGGCAGTCTCTTCTCATGTGATGAACTGCTTCTGAAACAACCCCCATTCAGAGGGTCAGGGTCAGCTATGGATTGGCTTAGACTCTACCTTACACAACAACAACAGAGGGAACGCTGGTGTTCTAAAAGGTATGAAGTGGCAGGGCCTTCCCAAAGAGAGATTGAATCTACCAGGTACTTTGCAGGAGAAGCAGCAGCAGCAATTCCCTCCAGTGCTTACTACAGTCTCTGAAAACCTGAAGGATCAGCTATGAGTCAGTCCCAACTGAACCGTCCCTAACAGCAGCATTAGAGAAATGGAGACCACTGAGAAAGTAGTGTCCAAAAGCCGCTGTCATAGCTGCCCACCTGGGGTATCAGAGCAAGAGTAGTGGTAAAGTGGTTTCCCCCTTTAATGAACCTTGAAAGATTAAAATCATTATCATGACCATTTTTAACAAAGAATTATGATTCTAATTCTTAACCTAAAGGAATTTTAAGGAATAAGTATGAGGGATATAAAATTACAGGAGTGTATGGTGAGGGGTTCACATTTGTGTTATGTGTACACTGGATTTTACTCTGGCGTGTTTCATACTTCATGTTATCACTTTTGGATTGGAAATGTGCTTTTCCAAAACAAGAAAGAATCAACTACTTTTCCACCTTAATATTCAACCTACCTGCCCATAGTTGTCTATGCCAGTTACTAATCTATTTAAATTTAATAAATCAAAAGCTGTCCTTAGGGATTGGCCAAGAGTCGTAAGTCCTTCTGCCTGAAGGTTTTTCAGTTCATTCATAAACGTTGCATGGTTTTCTTTCCATCCAGCCTGAAAAGAAAAACGTGAGAATTTTTTTTTTCCCCCTTTTTTTCCACCTCCAAGGGCCATGCCCACACAGGCAGCAGAGACAATCCGCTCTTCACCAAGTAGTAGCTCGTGCACTTTACAGTATGGTCAACTTGTTTGTGCTGTATCCCTGCTGCGGGAACTCCCCTCCAAAGGTGGCCAAGGAGAAGCCTGCGGGCCCTATAGCTTCTGAGAGCTAAGAGCGGCGTTAATCCTTTCTAACTTTACTGGGTCGTCCACGACCTAACACACCCCGGATTTCAGGATGTGCGGGGCAGAAGGAAGGTGCTCGAATTCTCAAGCTGGCTGTGTCGCTGGCCCCCCCGGCCTCCTGGCGAGACACCATCAAGTGCGGGGCCCCGCAGCTCCCCCACTCCCCCATCCCCCCAGCTAGGCACCCCGATCCCGGGGCGGCCCGGCCGGTCCCCTTTAATGCCCCAGCGCGCTGGCTCGGCCGGGCCCCGCTGTCACTAAGTTGAATAAATATCCCCCACAGTTCATTGCAGCCGCTCACGCCGCGGAGGGGAAATGTCGGCCATGTTGATCGCAG